GACAGGCGGTGGGGGGGGGGGGGGGGACAGTCTAGGTCGGCATCCGCTCTCTCCAAACCCCATCTTCACGCCAAGACCAGGAGACCAAGTGCAGCATGCGGGGCCTGGAGACAGCCCTGAGAAAACCTCCTGGTTCTGCTGTATGAATGGCTGTTCTCTGGAGTCCAGTACGTGAGGTGGGCACCCAGCCCCCAGGGAGTGGCCCAGTCTCCAAGGAGGCCCTCCAGTATGGGTGGGGCACATGTCCCCCCAGGTTGCCAGGCCAGCCCCACTCACACCCCAAGCCCCAAAGATGAGCCTCCGGCCAACAAGGTGGCCCCAGTCCTCTGCCCTGCAGCATGGGCCCCTGGCTGGGTCTGCCCTTGGCCTGGGTATCCCTGGCTAAGTTCATTCCAGGTGGCCATGTCCTCTCCCTGCCTGTCGCCATGGCTGGGACCAGCAGCCAGTGTGTACTGGGCAGGATGTCCCTGTACCTTCTCAGGAGGGTCACAGCCACTGGTGAGCTTCCCTGCCCCTCAACCCAGTGTTTCCAGAGATGGCATGAGGGGCTAGTGGAGTGAGGGGTGCAGCAGGTCCCACTGACCCCGAGCTCAGGTCAGGACCCCACTGGCCCCCACCAGCTCTGCCCAGAAGGGCGCCGACCTGGGGACAGCAGATGGTAGGATACAAGCCCCAGGGAAGGCGGAGCCCCCGCCTACAGGCCCTGGATGCCCCATGCCTTTCCTGACCCAGGGGGTCTCTATCATGGAGCTGGGGGCCAGGACCCACATCTGAGTTGGGGGCAGATGTCAGCACACCTGAGGGGAGGGGTAGTGAGGGGAGGGGTGCAACTGGCGGGGAGCACAGGGCCTCACCTGATCCCCAGCCTCCTGCTGCCCTGGTGCCATAGGAGCCTCAGGCCTTCCCAGGGTGGGGGTGAGGCTGCCCACACCAGCCAGGCCCTTGATGGAGCAATCCTGCCCTGGGACAGTGACCCTGGAGGACTGCCTGCTCCCCACTCCTGCAGGTGAGGCAGAGGGGGTGGGACGGAGCAGGGTCCCCTGGGCTGAGGAGAGTGGGTGGTGGGTCACAGTATAGACTCGGGAAACAGGGCTGCCCTTGGGGTCCCAAGGAAGCCTTAGGGAGACACCAGACTGAAGGCTGCAGGGGAGAGGACATTGCCAGGGTGTCATGATAGTCAGGGGCCCCCAGGGGCCCCACTGCGAGCTGGGGCCAGCACAGTGACTCCAGGACAGGCCCTCCTGGCTCACCTGCTCCAGCTGGGGACCTGACTATGCCTGAGCCCTGGGATGCCACAGAGAAACCAGCCGCAGTGCCCCCTCCTCCCTAGTAGGCCGGGTGGCGCAGGCTGCTCCTGGGCAGCGCTGCACAGGGTGCTAACATCGGCCAAGTGCAGCAAGACCAGTGGTGCCTGTGGGCCGGGGCGGGAGGAGAGACGGCAGCATAAACCCTGGGCACTGCCTTGGGCTGGGGGAGGCAGCACCTATCCCTGCTCCACCCCAGCCCACTCAGGATGTCAGACTGGTGAGCTGTCCCTGCAGTAGCCGGGCAGGTGGCCAGCAGCCTTCACACCCACGGTGCCAGGCCGCAGGACTCAGATACGTGCAAGCACTCCCACCTGGGAACCGCGCAGCTGGCCTCACTTGGTGCAGGTGAATGTGCACAGGGCCCTTCCAATGGGAAGGAGGATGTGCACACACACAACCTCATGCTCTTACACAGTCCTGCACACACACACTCATGCTCATACCGGGCACGCACACACACTCTCACACACCCAGTCACACACACAGACTCACAGTTTCACACACTTACATTCTCCACACATGCAGACTCCCAGTTATGCACACGCATAAATGCACTCACACAGGTGTGCACACACATAAACACACAGGAATAACTGGTGCAGAGGGTGGGGGGAACCTGCCTCTGCAGGAAGAGCCAGCCTGGCCTGGAGGAGGAGTGGTGCAGTGGGAACCGGAGTTGGGGTGCAGGCTGAGCCTCACCCCTCCCACCGGCTGGGACATGATCTTCCAGGGCAGTGCCAGTGCCAGTGGTGGTGCCCCTGCAGTCTGGCCGCACAGGGGTGAGGTGAGACTGCTGTGCCCCAGCCATACCTTCCCCCCAACTCCAGGGAGGGGGGGCAGAGCCACACCCACTGCCCAGTTGCAGCCCCCACTCTGCCCACTGACCCAGGCTCGAGGGGTGTCCAGGTGGGGACAATAGCCTCTTTCCCAGCCCTCTGGCCCAGGAGCAAGGAGAGGGAGGGGTGGGCGAGAGTGGGCCAGTTGGCCATTGTGACAGCTCAGATGGGTTTGCATCTAAAACCTGCCCTGCAGGGGAATGGGGGCTGCTCTGAGGGCCCCAAAGGAGGAGCCTTCTCGGCCTGGCGGCCAGCTCCCCCACACCCCTATCCCTGAAGGATCCCCAGCTGGTCTCTAAACCCAGAGCTGCCTCATACAAAGCCCTCCCCCTCCTCTCTCCTGCCAAACCGCCATCTGTTGCCATGGCAACGGAGCAGAAAAGGCAGGCAGCACTCAGAGCTCTCCCCACCCCCTTCTTTCCTGTTCCATCAGCTGGGCTGTGGGCTCAGAGCAGGCTGGTGCAGCCCCCACTAGTCCAGGACCCCCTGGCCCGAGCGAAGGGCCTGGCTGCAGCCCCACCAACAGCTGCGTCCTGCACAGAAGGCGAGGCAAAGCCTCCCATGGCTCCAGCCTCCAAAGCCCCTCCTCTGGCCCGGCTTCAGCGCCAACCCTGCCCCTGGCAGGACCTGTCTTGCACTGGGGAATGGCTGATGGCCCATCTGGTCCCTGACCCGCCTCCCCTGCTGTGCACCCACCAAGGAGCGCCCCGGGGCCAGCCAACCACCCTGCCACCCCGAGGCCAGATCCAGGGGAGAGGCACAATCCTGGCTACTAAAGAGTAGTGCCCAGCAGGTGGCCTCACCTGCACCCGCTGCCCCACATGAACTCCCGAAGGACGAAGGAGGCTGGGAGCGTAGGAGCCACCACACGCTCCGCAGTCAGGGGCAGCTACGGCCCCGAGGTCCCAGGTGACAACATGCACAGCATCAGCCGCGTCAGCAGCTGAGCACATCACCATCGCCACAGTGCAGCTCTCACACCTCCATGAGGCCCACATAGGTGCCCCTTTGGCTGTGAGGCCTCAGGCCAGAGAGGTACAGCCACTGGCCTGGCGGTGACCGTCCACAGCTGGCAACAGGCCTGAACTTGTGGTTTCTCTTTTTCCTTTTGTATTTTGCCCCTGGTTTGCTCCCTGAAACCTGCTTCTCCAGCAGCCCCCACCCCAGCTGCTTTTCCACACTCGGGGAGGTGTCACTGACACCCAGGTCCCACAGAGCGTTACCGGTTTCCACCTGGGCGCACACTCTGAAACCGGCAGGACAGAGGTCCCTCCTCCAGCCCCAGGGGTGCTAGTACCCCTTTCTCACCTCTTCACCACCTCTGCTCACTGTCACTATCCAGCTGCCTTCTCTGGACTGTCACCCAGACGCATCACCACGCAGCGCGGGCAGCTGCGGCGGTGACTCAGAGCGGCCTGAGTGACAGGCAGGTAATGGGGGAATAGTTACGGAAGGAACTCTCACTTACCCACCTCGGCTGTCCTCAGAGGAGCCAGGGAGGAGCCGGGCTTCTCTAAGAAATGCAAGTGCCCAGCACACACCAGAATTCAGTGGTCCTTTGCACAGGGCAGGCCTCTGAGGGCCTGGCCGGCGAGGACTCACCTGCAGAGTTTAAGGACCGTCGCCAGCAGGGCCGGCCCTCCAGGCTCAGGCGCAGGGCCTGGGAGTGGGAGGTAGGTGGGGCTCGGGGTAGAAATGTGGGGGCCACAGAAGCAGGAGGCACCAGCCTGCCTCTCCTCATGCCCACCATCCAGGGCCACTTCCCCCGTGGATCCGGGAGATGGGGCTGGAGCCTGGGGCTGTGGTGTGAAGTCCCTATGAAGCCACGTCCAATCAGTTCCTTCCAAGGGCTGCAGTCCTGGCCCAGCCCACAGGGATGTATGGACGCTGGACTCAGTCCCACGCGGTGGGGCTGCAGGGCTGCAGAAGGAGTAGGCTTGGGGCCTCCTCCCACGGCCACACCGGGCTGCATGGACAGAACAGGGGGGAAGGGGAGAAGGGGGAAGGAATTCCTGGTAAGAGGCCACGCAGATCCCCCACCCTCAGGTGTTGAGGGTGAGCACTGGCGGGGAGGGGGAGGGGATTCCCTCTCCTCAGCAGAGTAGGATGCCCAGCCTTAGCAGCTCCTTAGTTGCCATGGCGACCATAGAGGCAGCAGCAGACCCAGAGGGTGTATGATGCAACAGGGTACCCTTTTTCCTCAGCACCCCACCTGGTTTCCTCCCAACCCAGCACCTACTCCCCCAGAACCAGGAGCCCCCAAACAGGCCCACCCACTGCACTCACCCTGCTCCCCTCTGCTGTGGTCCCCCCCATGGTGTCCCTACCTCCAGACAGGCTCCCCCAGACACAGCAGGACCCACCCGCACCTCCCTCAGCCATGGGAAGCCCACCCACCCAGCTAGTGACCAGGAGGGGAAGGGTGCCTGCCTACTCTATGCTCAGCACCACATCCTAAGGGCACAAGCCCCAGTGCTGGTCAGGCAACCTGAGGGCTGGAGTGGGGTGTGCTGGAGAGAGGGAGGCGGGAGGTGGAGGGAGAGCACCCGCATCAGGGCACCCCCTCCACCCAGACAGGTCACAGCCCTGCCAGCCACGCTCAGGTCTGGGCGGGTGCCCATGGGGACCCAACCACCTTATCTAGGCACAAGGGCTGTGAGCCCCACAGTTTCAGGGGGCACTGGGCAAAGCCATGGCAAACGGCTGCCTGGCTCCTGGGTGCCCCCTCTCAGCCATCCCGCCCAGAATGTCCCTCCTCCAGGCCACACCTCTCGAGTCCCTCGGGGCACATGACCACATTCGATTTTTATTAACTGGCTTCTCAATTCAATATTGTAAAATTAGACCAATGAGCTATCCTGATTGAACCCAGTAACTATTCCGTAATCCCATCTGGTAAATTGTGTTCTTTTTAAGCTGGTGTCCTAGTTTCAGAAGCCTCAGGTCTGGGGGTGGATGCTGGGTGGCCAGCCAGCCCTGCAGGCTGGGACAGGAAGGTGGGCGGTAGGCCTGAGGGCCCAGGGAAAGGAGGGGTCGGAGGCTAGTGGGGAGCAGGCAGCAGAGGGCCGGCTCAGGGGCTGCTCTGAAGGGAAGGCCGAGGGTCCTGCCCCAGCGGACTCACAGCTGCAGCGTGAAGGCTGTGGTGTGATGGCCGTGGGTGGCATGATTAGCGGCAGTGCCCTGGCTAGCAGCTGGCCAGCCCCCAGGGGACGTGTGGGAGTGTAGGTGGGGTGAGTGGTGGAGGGACAGATCCGTGGTGGACAGCAGGAGTGACTCAGTGTCAGTGACCCAGGGCCTGGCTGGTGAGTGCAGGAGTCCCCGGCAGAGGTGGACAGCCTGTGGTCCAGGCCCAGCCTGCCCAGCAGAGCTCTGACCGCACCAGGCCCAGGGATGGTGAGACGGTGATGGGGTTGCCGTGATGATGAGGTCGGGACCTACCCTGGGAAGCCGAGGGAGTCTCTGCCTGTCATGACAGACAGACACACACCAACACAGACACCTCTTAGGTTGGCAGCTGCAGCCCCAACCAACTCCACACAGGCTTGCTGAGCGTGGGGGGACCCTCAGGCAGGGAGCCAGGCCAGGCCACTCCCAGTCTAAGCCAGGTGTAGAGACACTTCCCAGAAGCCTCCGGGACTCCCAGCAGCCTCTGCCCCAGGGAGCAGGAGCTGCGGGTCACCAGACCCTAGAGGCCAGACACCCTCCATCCCTGCCCGCCTTAAGCTCCTACCGGCACACTGCGTGTGCCCCGCCCCAACACAGAACACAGGCCCCCTCGTCGGCCGGCCTGCTGTGGTCAAGCAGAGGAAGGCACAGCCCACCGCTGCCTCCCCTGGCAGCCACATCATCTGGACACCCGGGAGGGCCAGCAGGGAGGCCAGGGAAGGGATGGAGGGTGGACCTGGCTGCAGAGCAGGCAGCCGTTCTGGTCTGTGCCGACACCTCCTGTCTCCCCCTTGGGGTTTCTCTCTGCAGGGGCAGGGCTGATTTGGTTTTAGCTGAAATAAAACCCCAGTCCACATTTAATAGACTCTCTGCTAACTTGGTTTCCCCAGTACTAGGACAGTCTCAGGTACCCCCTTCTGGCCCACCCCTGCGAGTGGGTGGGGAGTTGGGGACATCACACAGCCTCTCCCTAGCTCCTTCCCCTGAGAACAGCCCTCGGGTTGCCCTGGGCAGCTCTACCCAGAGGAAGGGGTGGGCCCTGGGCCTCGATTTCCTCCTCTGAGCCACGGCACAGGCATCCCAACCACAGCTTCTGGAGCTGCATGTGGGGAGCACCTGACCTGGGGAGCGGGGCCGGG